CAGGGGTTACAAGAAGGGACTTTGTGAGTATATCTAATACGGCTCTTATGAGGTTAGGTTCAGCTTTTGGTGATTCTGAAGCTGATCATGGAGTTGGTTCAAAATTTATATCAACATATATGTACAATTACCTGACAGTCAGCTCTGAAAAAGGAGAACTAGTTGCCGTCTCATGTCTTTGATAAAATCAACGCTGGAAAATTGGCGACATCTTCTCGGCGCTGTATTCTAACACACGGATCTAAGCCAACCCCTATTTGATATTCTTCAGTATTGTGACAGCAGTATCACCCATGTAAACTAACCAGAGCTCCAAAATCTGCACGCTATCTATGATTGCAAGTCCTTAGCGACGCACCATTTCGCTAAGCTTCGTCGACCAACCAGGACTGTCTATGTACTATCTAAAGGAGAATATGACGGCCGCAAATCTCTCCCATAGTTCCTACTTAAGCTAACGTCACAGGTCTGTCCATCCGTCTGAGATCCTATGTGCTAGGTTCCATCATGCTTAGAGGACGAACTTAGATATTCGAAACACGCTATTTGAAGACGACAAATAAATGGGTAAGAAGACCGTAGTATCGAAATGGGGTTCCTGGACCCATTGTATGTTAAATAACTAGCTGGGTAAAGATGCTTTGCTACTCGTCACAGAGATAGAATCTTTGCATCAGGACGCTCTGGGAATACACACATATGTGGTGGCATAGTCGCCAATTCTATGTTCACTGCTTGCCAAAACCATGCATTCCTTAATATTCCGAAATTCCTCCAACTCCATCACGCTTGCAATGTTGTCCGAACCCGACTTCTGTGATACCCGTATCACCATGTTGTAACGCCTGCAATGCATACATATGGGTTTCAAGTGTAATTCACTAGGCCAGAATAGCATGAGGCTACTATGAAGAGCAATATGCTCGACCGCAGCAGAAGCCAAGATTCTTAATCATCTCGGAAAAAAGGGTTGCCCGCTATTGGTGCAGTAGACGGGCCTGCATCCCTCATAATAACATCATGGCTGCCAGAGTCCTCCTGTGAGGCGGACTGAGTTAAGACCAGGGCAGACCGTCGAAAATCAGCTGATAAAGGACGGCTCTGCGGTTCAGCTAGTCGCTGAGGTAACGAGGTGGGCCTTTCATAATAGGCGTCCTCAGGCGGTGAGAATGACCACACCTAAGATTGTTAGTCACAATAGGAAGATCGGCGTAAACACTACGTACCTCCATCATAACTCGGGCTCCACTGGTGGTCACAGCAACACACTTTTCATCTTCGAAGACAACTCTCCATACGGACTCAGCTGTGATAAGCTCCCGTACAAGATGACCTGTCTTTACATCCCACACTTTTACTCTTCCATCACTACCGCCGCTGACAACTCGAGTATCGTCGAACTGAAGGCTGGTGACACTGTTATCATGTGCGGCGAGTCGGTGGATAGGGCACATTTTCTCAAGCGACCAAACTCTGACCGACCCGTCGGACCCTCCAGTGACGAGAGTGTTTCCGCGCAGTTGAAGTTGGCCTACCAAGGAGGTATGTCCTTGTAAAACAGCAATAGGTTCGCTACTCAAGGTGTCAATAAAACTGCACTGTTCGCCGTGGATGGCTCGAAAATGGTAGCAAACTTACCCAGTATGAGCATCCCATACCCTAACGCTAGTATCGAGACTTCCAGTTACAACCCTCTGGCCGTCAAATGCAATAGCATAAATCTGGCTGAAGTGACCTGTGAGAGTGTGTAGGCATCGGCCTTCAGAGATGCTCCAAATTTTGGCTGTGGCGTCGTAGCTTCCCGAGACAACAATGTCTCCCTTAATCTCAAGACATCTCACACTAGCCTGGTGGCCAACCAAGACGTTCCTGCAGATACCTTTTCTAATATCCCACACTCTCAGGGTAGTATCTCGAGAGCCGGAAATTGCGGTGTTCGCATCAGACATCTTGAGACAGCGAACAGTAGAGGTGTGACCGCGTAATGTATGCAGACACGCACTGGAAATCCGTTAGCCCAAGTAATTATAGTCAAGCTACGTCAGACTCACCCGTTGGTCATGTCCCAAACTCGCACGTCTCGATCACATCCACCGCTCACAAGAATATCTTCCCACGGTACCATGGCCCATACGCCCATAACATGGCCTTGGAGTGTTCGAAGCGCAGTCCCTTTCCGATCGAATATATGAATTCTTGCGTTGTCTAACGCCACAACGATGTATTTCGGCGTCAGATGTAAGCTAGTGACAACCCGCCCATCCTGTGTGATGGTACGAGTCGACTTGCGTCCGCCAGTCCTCCATGCCGATTCGACTAGATATCTTTGCTTGAAGTGAGATTTGTATGATCGCAACTTTGGGCGGTGAACAGCTCCCATACTTGCGGACCCGTCAATAGTTTTCGAGTTGTGGAATGAAGACGACCCGGGTAGGGCGCCTGGGAAACTCTGATTTGCATACTCGACATCAGACAGTGGATGGGCCCCAGGTCGACTCGTTGCGTACGTTGGTATGCCATAGGAAACGTCGGAAAGACGCCGACCGTAGTCGTGCTTAACACAAAGGTTCTTCCAAGTCACATCATCGCTGAGCAGATCCCTCCAACGTCGTGACACCTGGGAGGCTCGCGCTAGAACTTGAGGGTCGTCAATAAATGACAAGATCCTTAAGCATAACTCATCCGGTAAGCTCGTGAAAGGGTCTTTCTTGAGCAACGGGCTCACAAATTGGTGTACGAAGCTCAGCTGTTGAGTAGTGCACATGTTCAGGAGGTCTGCGAGTATGCGGTTTCGACGCGGGCCGGAAGATGCCCTAAAATGGTGACGAACGTGAGCAAGGAAGAAGTCTTCGTCATCGGCAGCGTCGCTCCAGTCCAGTTGAGCATTTGTCGGGCCAGGAGAAGCAGCTGGTGTAGGAGGTGGCGGAGGAGAACCGGTAGGTTGTTGCTGATCAAATTCAGGCGCCGGTGTGCTCATGCTTGGGGTGGGCGGCCCTCTAGGCCTCGGTTGGACCATCTTGTCCATCCTCTGATTCACAATGACGGGACCGGCGCCGGCCATGTTTAAAGTTAAGTCCTCGCCGTAGTTCATAGCACTTCCCCTCCGTTCCGAAAAGGTAATCCCGGGACAATATCCGTCCATATTGATCCTCGCAAGTCTATATGTTTGTTGTGATCATTCGATATAACTCGGTGCTCGGCTGAGAGGCCGTATCGCTAAATGGTGGAGTATTATTCAACGCTGGATGATAAATTAAAGCTGTGGTCTCGACGATGTCAGCGTCCATGAGCTAAACGTTGACTGCTCAGAAGCGTGGATCCAGATATGACCAATGTAGATATAATGTCTGACATTTGGGAGACGATGACTTGAAAATGCTCTGCAAGGGAGGTTGGTGCAACGGAACGTATCTGCATACCAGATTATGGCTGTCTGTGCTAAGCACAAGAGCAATTTCGTGTAGCCTAGAAATGGAACAAGGCGGGAAGGGCTGATCAGGGATCTTCGAGTCTGTCTTTGAAATAGGCGCTGTGATTGTACACTGCCAGTCGCAGCACAAGAAAGGGAGATACAGCTGAGATGATCACACAGCAAGCAGCTGTGGTAAAGGTGATCAATCACAAAAATGGTACTGGGACATGGATAGCATTGGCATTGTCTTCTTCTTCGGTTGCTTCAGGCGCGCAGTACGGGCTATTCGAGAATAATGGACCGGTCTGTCTGGGGGAGGAGAGCCGATCGACTTGATGGTGGCCTGTCGGGAGAGGTTTAGACGCCGACGCCAACAGGATCTCCACTCCCGAGGAACGTCTACTCAGCATACACTACACTACTACCGGGGGATAGATACGGTGACACGAGCACGACAAGGAGACTGCCGAGTTAGGTGATGGGGCGTGCTGATTCCAAACGCCAGGGGAACTACGTGTCCGCCGATGTAGGGTAAGGAGAGAAGGAGGAAGAGGAGGAGGTGGAATAGGAAGGATGGGATGGGATGGACAGCAGGCAAGTGAGCCAAAGTGCCAGACAAGGCTTTTCCGCTGCACGTTTCGAAGAGACGATGAGGGATGATGGATGGGGTCGAGGCGACACGGGGTTATGTGAGATGACCAGTATACGAAATACCTAACGCATACATACTGGGGACCGAACCACCCGCCAGCAGTGTACTAGTGCTGAAGGTACCTGCACGTACATACACTGGCTTGACTGGATACTGCCTTTGCTAATTTAGAAGGGGCAGGGGAAGATAGAAGGCCATACCTAACGTGCATCTATAGTCACGCGAACTGTCAAATCTTCTGCACAGTACTCCACGCATCACTGAGGTAAAGTAAGGCACCTAGGTATTGCGGAAGAAAGAAGACAGTGTAAGCGCAGATGACATTGTACTGTGATGGCACATGTCCACCTAGCACTATCCACATAGCGAGGAGTATCTTTGGAAGGCTAACGATTTTCAGAATAGTATTTATGAGTTCAGATTTAGGTATCTTGCGCTATTATGCCGTATGGACTTAAGTATTGGATTTTGCTCGTAAAGCGGACCGCCACATCATCAAAACCCAACGCCGTTCAACTGGTTGTTACAAGTAATACATTACAGCAGACGGTATATCCACCCGCAGCCGACAACTAAGTATGGAGCGATTGGAATCTTCAACGGCTTAGCGGCAACGCCGGTCTGGGGGGGTCTTGGCAACGCATTCTTTTCCCAGCCGCAAGCTGCAGCTGACATTGTCCACATGAAACATTCTCACTTAATTCCAACTTTCCTGGCAATGGTGTTACCAACCCTATTCAGATAGGGATAAGGTTATGTTCGTAATAGCTGACGCAGAAAGAATCAGCATCTGCCCTCACCAAAGAATGTCTAGAAATATAATAAATTAAAGCCAAAGTACTTTACATAGGCTGTGCGACCACAAATCATAGAAAACAATGCTTGCACCAACCTCTATAACCCCCACAAAAAGGTTAACCTCATGGCAAAAGTTGATGTCCTCGGTGAGGCTCGAACTCACGACCTTTGGATAGCCCAGTCTATTGACTGAATCATACGAATATGAGACCAACGCTCTAGCCAACTGAGCCACGAAGACTTATTCTCAACTGTTGATGTTGGGAACTGCTTCAATCCAGTCTGTGTACCTTAGCACGTCAGGCCGTCTGGTGTGTGATTTCCAAGCCCCTATCTCGTGTGACTCGTTCTACTTCTATATGGGCGAGCTCAGTATCAAGTTTTGTAAAGGGGAAACAATCATCTCCTTGTTATATGATGAGTTTACTAAAGCTTTTGAAGGGATTCGGCGCAGTCTTGGACTCGGAATGACCTGCCTTGACAAGCGATCATAAACGAGGCTTCGAAAGGAAAACTGGCTGTTTCTTCCAGGCGCTCCTTCTGGTTGATAGAGAGCCTGCTTTCTTAGCTCAAAATAATATTATTATAGAGACTGTTAAGGATCCATGTAGTTTAACAACTATGCTTAGCACCTATTACCTTAAATGTCAAGTCAAGCTTGTAGGCAAGCATTCATAATTAATAATGCATACCTTGGCGTTCAACAGAAGAACATAGCACCACTTGCACAGGTTTAGAAAGCATTCTTCGGGCAGTGTCACACGAACCCAGAGGACTGGGAGTGCACCTAAAACCCTTTAGCCCAGCGTTGAAATATCGTGTATGTAGTCATATGAGCGGCAAGACTTATACGGTGCCTCAGCTGCTTAATTACCTGTGTATGCCTGATTCAATGAAACAATTCATACAGAAGCGAGGCTTTCGCACGTATAAACATTTTATGCCACCGCCTGGCTGAAAGGGACGACTGGGCCTTATGGCTTCGTTGAAGCCATGAAAGATTATTGCAACTTAGACACTGTTCCAGGCCCTTGAAAACAGGCCCTCGTTATATTTAGGATGAACATAGGTAGACGCCGTAATTTTCTGAATATGGCTTACATATGGCTGTTAATGGGGGCTTCCTTACAGTCTCAACTAAAGTACGATGCTAGGAAAGGAGTGAGGGGCGATGATAAGGTGGCCAAGAGAATATAGAAGACTTTGCCAAAAACCCGACACTTTACTAGATGGGTCCAAGAGAAGCTTGAATGTCGAGTGAACGAAGTTCAAGATCTTGCTGAAACCTTGAGCAGGGAAACTTGTTATATGAAACCGGTAGGGCAAAGGCAAAGATGAAGGCTTTGGGAAATCAATAAATATTTCGAATAGCTACGTGGAATAGTGAGATATGATTCGTAATTTTTAATAACTATACGCCCTGTATACTCTACATACAACAACAAATAAATGATAATTTAGCATACCTAGAATTCAGAATCAATCTGACATGCTATCCCTTAAGTGCCCCGGTCTCGTGGCCTATAATTATGAACTACGTTACGCCCGAACTCCCTCCCGGCTTCCAAGGCTAAATCCCTGGGCGGTGCAGCTTTCGTGGATGCTGTAAAGGGCGTCTCTTCAGTACTTGTATAGTATGACCTAGGAATGTTTGAGAATACCCTATATCTATATATATAGTTAAGAGTATGGGCATATCTCAATCGTTATGCAAGAAGTTTGAACATGGATATTAGTATTACTATATTCCTATGTAATCTATCAGACTTTTTTGAAGACGGATGTTGTTTACTAGTTATTAACAGAGTAGGGTTGAGGTTAAATGATGTTCAAGACATCAGTTAACTATGAAAGTGGGAAAGCGAGGGAAATTTTGGCGATCAATAAAGCTACTTACATAGTATAATAACGAATGACCCAATAGATACAGACATGTAGGCATAGATTGACGGTAAGTAGTGCACTGCGAGCCTAAGTAACGGTTAGACACCGACTAAACTAACTGGATAGAAAAGCTTCAAGAAGACTAACCGTAAGAGATCCTTAAGCTCGTCTATAGCGATACAGAAATATATCTAGCATACAACCTTGAGTCCATTAATTCATAGAAATGACGTGGAGTATTTTAGATATTTATCCTCGCGCCCAGAGAAGTCAGGAGCGAAAGGACTCGGGATATCAGGCAGACTCGCTGGATCTAGGTGATTTTCAAAGTCTTTCATAATTCGATCTATCTGTACTCCAATATATGCCCCCAGAAACAGATATTGCTGACGGAAAAGAGGAATTTGGACTTGGACGTTGTTGACTTGGAGGTATTCAGAGAGATAAAGAAACAACATCGTCTAGACAGCGAGGATAGTGGAGAGGGTAGAATTCTATCATTCACAGGTGGAATATATCAACACAAAAAATACAAAACTAGAGTAAGTATAGCTTCAGTATGTAATAACCCTGACAGATATATGAATTATGAGAAATATTGAGTATGATGATCAAGTAGATGCTTGCTTAGAGGCTTATAGAAGGGCTCATCTCGTAAACGTCTCTCGGCATAAAGACCGCAGAAAAACGTCTGCCTTAAACTATAAAGGGACGAAATAGAGGCGTATCTCACAACAATACAACAACAAACTTCAAAAAGTACTAACCTAGGAGTTTGAATGTTTGCGTGCCAAATTTTGAAAACGATTCCAGAGCTCACGCAATAGTGTTCTACTAGAGCTTCCAAAGGAGAAGAAAAGAAATAAGCCAAATATACATGGATTTTGATATCTAACGTGGTATCATTAAACAGATAGATTTACCAGGATAAAAAAGTTCCGGGGCGCAGCAAACCACGCGAAGCAACGCAAACCCATACGCCTTGTTGTCCATCCACATCACCGCTTCTCTTATTTTTTTGGTAGACCTTGCCAAACTCCGGACTAACCCGACAACAAATAGATCGTATTTCTTCCCCCATGTCCTTAACGCCTCGCAATGCTCAATGCTTCCCCGGAAGCCGACTAATGCCTCCTAAGGGCCTCAAACCATGGGATACCCTCACATTCAAGCGGTAGCTGCTGAAAAATTTCCTAAATATAATGCCTAGCCGGCACACCGTTTGTCGTCCTGGGCCTAGGCCTGGATCTGGGCCGTTCCTCCCGCCTGCTGCCTCTGGTCCTGTGCCTGGTACACGCCGTGTCCTTGACGCGGAGCCGAAACTCTATGATGTCTTCGTCTCCTAGTATGCGGTCGTCCTCGCCGAGGCCGCTGGTCTCAGCGAAGAACTTGCGTGCCTGGTCTACTGGGTTCGAGGGGACCACCCACATGCTCTCGCGCATGCGCTTGTGTCGCTCGCGATCCTCCTCGATGCGCTGTTCTATCTGCCGCCTTGTCGGCTTTATGCTGACGCCATTGCGCTGTGTGGGTTGGCTGCCGCTGACGTCTTGGTCGGTGGCGGAGGCGGGGGCGGCAGATTTGTCGTTGCCGTCTAGCGGAGAGGAGAGGCTGAAGTCGTTGGCGGAGGTGTCACGTTCTTTGAGGCAGCCTTCTATCTCTATCACTGTCTGTTCTAGGAGGATGAACTTGGTCTGTAGACCCTGAAGAACCTGTTGAAAAGGTAACGAGTTAGTTCTCTTTTGTTGGGTATGTGTTTACTGCTGAGGCTGTAACCATACCTTGCGGACCACCTTGACATTTGCTGCGCCAGATCCATTTTCCGGGCACACGGCATCGACGACCCTGATAATATCTCGTTGCATCATGCGTACGTAGTCGTTGTGTCTTTCCTTCGAGGCCATCTCTAATAAATGCTCGATGAAGTACATGATGTTTGCTCGCGTGTTCATGTTGGTCTGTCCGATGGGGAGATAGGGTCAGCAATTGACTGCTTTCTGTGACTGACAAGCTTTCGCCACCTTATCCCGGGGATGGATATGACCGAACGTTTATTGAGGGAGAATGAAAGGTAGTATGAGACTTACCTTCTCGAGCTGTTCTAATATGCACGAATGTAAGTCCTCGTCCATATCCTTGTATTTGAGCGCATACTGAGCTGCCTTTTGCGCCGAAGTCGTGCTAGCATTAAGATGTTCTAGCTGTGAGCTAAAGCGCATGCGTACCTCGAAGGGATCGGCCATTTTGTCGTCGGCATATAAATTCGTCAAGTTGGAAATGCGCAGCCTTGTCCCACAGGCTTCATCTAGGTATGGAAGGCCATAAAACCGGGGACGAGGTCGACTTCTTGTCTGTAACTTCTCAGCGCGGGGAGCTCCCGACGCGTTTCGCTAGGGGAAGACGGCAAAGCCGTGCGACAGTAGTGGAGACGAGAACAGGGGCGGGAGAGCCAATGCAGCCAAGGGTTCCAGAGAATTTTAGCACTTATGCAGGCCATATACCCACTTTTGGGCACCAAACCAGGGGTTTAGTCCTGATGGAGCTAGCCGCGATAGCGACGGTCTCGGTTTAGCCAAAAGGGAAGCCCCATAGAACATTTCGATGTGTCGGAGCGATCTCGGCCCTAACGTTCCCTAACGGAAAAGAGCAGCTCGAGCTTGGGAATTTTGATTATCTGAGGAAATAAGATCGGGAAAGACAGGAAACGAAAACTGATTCAATACGTATGTGGTTACGAAACAATCCAAATGGATTGGCCGGTTTGTTTTCTATCCCTAGTGTGCGGCAGTGCCTCGTATTGGGTGTCTCCTGGTTTTGCATTCTCGTTCATATAAAATTGTGATTGCTCCTTTTGCTACTTGACCCAAAAGCTCTTCTCGTTCTTATCTTGTTTTCGTCACGAAAATCTGTGTTTCTATTTTTTTGATATAGATATTTCTAGTCTCTTGGACGTTGTACTCGCGTTTTGGCTTAGACAGAAGGAAAGAAGAGAAAGAAACCCTACATCAAAATTACACCACAACACCTATCATTCAATATGTTGGCTATAACGCAACATGCGCATGAGGCGCCGGAGCTTACAATGGCCGTTCTCGGCTGTGGTAAGGCCCGATATATGACTACAAGCCTGACCCTCGCTTAATTGACTTGTACAGGCACGATGGGTATTGCCATCCTCTCAGGGATTCTGTCGTCTCTTCAAGAGATGAGCGGCCCACGACCACTACAGACCTGCGGGAACTCGACGCCACGTGACGAGGTTCCCTCCCGCCTCCCCTCGCGATTTATCGCTTGTGTGCGGCGTCCTGAGTCGGCGAAGCGCGTGAAGCAGGCGCTGTGGGAGCACAGCGCCAGCGTGAA